TGTACATTTCATTGGAATGGTTTCTTCTTCTGGATATTCTTAACTCATTTACTTTATTAGAAATATTTCAAGCATACAAGATAGTATTAAGAACAACATAACACTTGAGTATCTATTTCCCAGTTTCCCAGGTTTCTCTTTTGAAATAATCCCATTGAATATTATAGAACTTTTAGTTATGATCAGGTCTGGCGGGTAACCAGATAAGGAGATGGGCTGCCATAGTGACAGAAGTGAGGCAAAGAGGCAAACCTCTGGGCTACTGCAGATATTCAGATCATCAATGACAGAGTAGATAGATAGGACTGAGTACTTATACTCTCAAATACTAAAAATAATAAAGCAATGGCTTCAACAATTTGGAAGGCATTCATTTTAAAAGGATATTTTCCCTTAAGATACCTAGTCCTGGCTCAAATTGCCCTAACATGAACAATTACCTTTGAGCAGTTATAAACATTTGCTTCAAATATTTGTTTAATCCTGTGTAGGCCTCTTAGTAGATAAGCAATCAAGTGGGAAGGATTGATAAAAATGCCTCAGGCAGGTTAGCCCTGTGGGTGGCTCTGAGTGGGTACCTATGTGTGCCCTCCTGACTCTTTGTAATCTTTGAAAAGTATAAGCTGTGACTATGTAATTCTTCATTAAAATTGGTGGGGACCGATTTTCCAGGCAGAGAGAATCCATGAGCATAACCCCTAGGGCAGGAATGCATGAGGCATTCCTGGGAGTCATAGATGTGTGATACAGAGCAGGCAGGAAAAGGGGTCAGGCTCTCATTTTCAGTGTGATAAATGCCACGGTCAGGAGGTTGGACTTTATTCTGGAGTAATAGGCCACCATTGTCTTACTGTAGGCTTTAGAACAGGGGAAATTGTATGACAAGAGTAAAATTCAATTCACTTTAGCAAATGTATTGAATGAGTGGCTGCAGTGTGCCTGGCCCTGTCCTTGGGATAATGGATGCAGAGACACATTCTTGATGTTGCCCTCAATGACCTTTAAGTCTAGTAGGGAACAGTCTATCAACAGATGTCAATAAAAAGTAGTATTTTGAGCTAAAATAGATGTATGTACAAGAGGCTTCTACGGAGCCCGGAGAAGGTAATCTGGGGGCCAAGGGACAGCTTGATCCCGGATATGAGTTTTGTAAGAAGAGTAAGAATTATGTGGATAAAGAGCAGAGGGAAGGATAGTCCAAAACCAAGACAACACAGAGAGCAAACTCACATGGCAGCAACTGACAGGGAACGTGTAAAGAAAGACAGCATTGCTGTTTTATTGGCTCATTCGATGGGAGGCAGAGAGAGGGTAGGAAAAGAAAGATGGAGCCTAGCGGGTAGGGATGGTACTTTGGAAACCTCATTCAGAGTAGAGGCAGAGAAGCCAGTAGACGACTATAGGGTTATATTCTACAGTAGTGTTAAATTTAGGAGGCACAGTCCAAACAGATATTTCAAACTTTACACACAACTCCCAAACACTTAGGGGAATTCAAGTTCATACTTGAAGAATAATGTATTCTCGGGGCGCCTGTGTGGCTCAGTCGGTTGAGTGTCCGACTTCAGCTCAGGTCATGATCTCATGGTTCGAGGGTTCGAGCCCTGCGTCGGGCTCTGTGCGGACAGCTAGCTTAGAGCCTGGAGCCAGCTTCAGATTCTGTGTCTCCCTCTCTCTTTGACCCTCCCCTACTCAGGCTGTCAATCTCTCTCTTCTCTCTCTCAGAAATAAATAAAAAGAAAACATTAAAAAATTTTTAAAAATAATACTGTATTCTCAACATTAACAACTCCCAAGAAACTCCCAGTGTCCTGTCCCAGAAGGACCCTCACCCCATCTACAGAGTTCCATTCTGACCACCATGGTCCCTCATTCCCTGTTCTCTTCTCTGGCACTCCACTAGGTTTCATCCTCCCTTTCAGTGTTACTCTTGGGCCCTTTATGATTTTCTGCCCCCACCCCACATCCTTGCACCTGGATTTTATCCTTCCTCTCCTCTTCAAACAGGACTTGTAGCGAGAGGGCTACATTGTAATTTGGGTTGTGGTGAGGGACAGTGGGAGGTCCTGAACTTGAATATGTTAATAATGTGGAGCCAGTAGCAATAAAATATAAGATGATCAAGAAGAGTTAGGGATATGACAGAATGATGGAGGAGCAGACACAGAAGTGAAATAACTTTTATAAACATGCTAAAAGTATGTCAGTTAGCCTGACAACTAACTAAATGTAGAATGGAGACAGAGAAAGGTAGGGCTTTAATACTGCTTGGTAGTTTGGATCTAGAATAAACTACAGCAGTACAGTATTATTTGCTATGGCCAGGTTTCCAAAAAGAGGTGCATATTTAAGGGATTGGATTAGAAGATGATAAATTTGACTTTGTATATGCTGAGTCTAAGGTGTCAGCAAGATATTCAAGTCATACTTAGCAAGCACAGTGCTTTAATTTGGTGCATATGCCAGCAGTATCCAAACTTGGGTGCTTAAGACACCATTCGGTTGTTGGAAAACAACATACTATTGCCCTTTCTTGAAGATTGATTATACATTGATAAATCTTATAGTAACTAAACCCATCTAACTTAACTTCATTTCCAGTGCCTCTCCTATTTGTTTTCCAGAATATCTCTTAACATCATTTGGAATGTTATTTTAAAGGAACACTGTCTTAAGAAATGCTCATTACAGCACTAAGGAGCTGTAATTAGGGGATGATTAAGATAGAAAGATTTTGATGGGGGTGGAGGGGGTTGTTTATTTGCATGGAAGTGAGAGTTGAAGCATTATGAACTGATGAATCACTCAGAGTGAATAGAGAGAAAAGAAAGATTGCAGAAAGAACCTCTATAAACACCGTTTGATACATGAAATGGCATGCAGAGAACATAATTTGGAAAGGCAGCAAATTGTGATAGCAAAAGGCTAGGTTTCAGAATTGTCATGTGTGACAAATGATCTAATCTTGAATATTCAGTTTTCCTACCTTAAAAATAATGCCCACCTTGTTGGGTGGTATCAAGATTTAAAATAGAAAATAGGTGAAGCACCTACCACATAATAGACCCATAATCTATTCTCAATAAACACTATTAACTAATATTTTCATTTAAATCTTCTTGATGAGTTGAAGCGAAACTTTTGTGACCACACTGCTATATTAAAACCTGAATATGGAGCACTTACCTGCAAAAGATCTCAGTTGTTGATATTAATACCCTAATAGGAGAAAGAAATCCCAGTTCAGACAAGCCTGGGCCAGGAACAGCATGGTACTGGAATAGGATCTGCAGAAGCTAGGCAATGCAAGAAGACACCACAGGAATTTCCTGAAGGCATCTGTGACTATGTTTTTCTAATCAGCTTTTCATGAAGAGATGCTGGAAGCTAATATCAGAACCTTAGTGAACAATCTGCTCTCCTTAAAAAATTTCTGAACTCAACCAACCCTGGACGAATGGCTGTAGGTATCAATCTGGCATGAGGAGACATCCTCTGACAGTAGTAATTATCTGGCACCCTCAGGGTTAGGCTGTGGGAGGCATCTGTAACAGAATACTGAGCTAATGAGATATACTTTTGTTTGAATATGTCACCATGTCACAAATGCAGACCTTAATCATTTTCGCTGTCGGTCATTTGAACATAGAAGGCCAAAAGAGATTCTGAAGTCAGAGCTGAAAGCAGATTAGCTTTTGTTTATTCTAGAAAAAAAAAAAAGTCATTTAACTGATTTTATCCTGATGAAGCTCATTCTAAGTTTCAAAGGGATGTTGGACAGAATCTGTTATTTTGCAGTCTTTTTCTTTAGGACTTCTGGACTGAAGCCCCTGAGGTCACAAATGGGTCTGAAAAGTTTGTTATTCAGATTGGCCATTTAACATGACTAGCCAATGTTCTTAATCAAGAAGTCATCCTCCTAGGGTGCTCAGGTGGCTCAGTCTTAAGTATCTGACTCTTAATTTCAACTCATGGTTCTGGAGTTCGAGCCTTGCAATGGGCTTTGTGCACTGACTCCTGAGGAACCTGCTTGGGATTTTCTCTCTCCCTCTCTCTCTGCCCCTTCCTCACTTGCAGTCTCTCTGTCTCTCTCAAAATAAATAAACTTTTTTAAAAAGTCATTTTCCAGCACCCAAGATATAAATAGAGGAGATGACTGAAAAGAAAGTGAACAAGTCTTTGAGGGAACGTGTAAGGCATCAGGAGTGTTCGGATCCCTGGAAAGGAGGGACAGAATCTGGGTGACAGCTGGTTTATGTGTGTGAATACACTAGGGTATTGTAGCAGATGTTTATTAGTTGTTCTCTGCGTGAAGATAGGCTAAAGTATCAGTGAAATACACCCTAGAAGTTCATAGAGTCTCTCTCAGCGGGGGTACTTGCAAGGAAAAAGAACCGTTCTGTATCTGATTTGTTTATATGGTCACTTGCCTAAAAATCACAAGACTTGGACAGAATGAATACATATAACACAGCACTGCTTGCAGTATGGTACAAAATTCGCAGCATCAGCATCACCTGAATCTGGCGTCATCTAGAAGGGCCAATTCTCAGGTCCTACCTTGGGATGCAGAAAACAGAATCTCCAGGTAATTTGTTGCTAAGTGTTTTCTAAGTAATTCTTGATATACTGAATTTTAAGAAGTACTATTCAAGGCATGTATTCGATGTGCCAATCATTTCTACTTTCATTCACTCACTACGCTAGCCTGGTTTCCATGTCTTTCCACCCTTAATTTCTGGTTCTCTTATCCTGATGGTACCTGGTTAGACCATCTGGTTATGAGAAATCAGTTTTGTAATTTTTATCTTGAGCATAAATCAGAATTCTACTAACGGAAAGCAATTTTGTAGAGGCAGTAATAATACTGATTTTTAGCCTTGTGCTTTGGTTTACAACAGGAAGACCATGGTTACAACTTCTGAGGAATTACCCTTCATTTGTAGGGTAACAGTGATAGAAATTAAGGGATTAAAAAAAAGAGAGAGAAAAACACTTACATGGGCTATAAGTTGCTCCTGGGAAGCTTTTACTTCAGCTTGTAACCTCTCAATGCACTAAAAGGGAGAAAAGTTTAGAAACAAAATGTGGAACTCTTCTTTTAATATATTCAAAATAAATCAGATATAAATATGTACCAGTTCTCAAATCCTGTGAATGGCAGCACTGTCTCAGCTAGGTGGTTTGGAAATCATCATTGAGAAATCCTCACTCCCATTCCTATCTCGCTTCCATTTTATTGAAGAGCCCAACAACAAAGAACACAAATATGTGAAGATTTTGGAAATGAGTGGGAAAATAATGTTTCTTTGATGTGCTGAAGGTAAAGCCAACCTACGTTATAACATATATACATATATATATATATGGTATCAAATGGGTTTGATACTACCCTGTCTTTGTAACATATGGATATGTTTTTATTTTAATATATACAGACATAAATAGGTAGGTAGATATCTCCAAGGTCATTAGAAACCCATTTGAGACGACAAAGAAAAAAATTTATCCTAATGCTCAGAGATTCAGAGATTAATAACTTTTTCTAAAGTAATTGATTAAAGCTTATGCCAAATTTTTGATGCACTCATTTTACTACACTTAAAGAAACTATTCCTTGACTAAGTTCAACCTTCAAAATGAGGAGGAGACATTTGGGGGTACCAGGGTGTCTCAGACAGTTAAGTGGCCGACTTCGTGTCAGGTCATGATTTTGTGGTTTGTGGATTCCAGCCCTGCATCCAGCTCTGTGCAGACAGCTTAGAGCCTGGAGCCTGCTTCAGATTCTGTGTCTCCTTCTCTCTCTGCCCCTCCCCCACTCACACTCTGTCTCTTTCTGTCTCTCAAAAATAAGTAAACATTAACAAAAATTTTTTTTAAATGAGAAGACATTTGTATAGTTAATACCACTTAGAAAATAAATAGTATATTCATCTAATATGATTCAAAGGATACATATCAAACAAACTTTTAAAATATCACTAACAAAATTAATTTTTATATGTGAATATTCACCAGAAATACAGTTATATTTAGCAGACACAAATATTATTTACCATCTTGTACTTAAATATGGACTTCCAACCTAGCCAGAAATGACTGCAGAAATGTCAGTACATAATAAGTTTAGGTAACTTTTTAAGATAAAGATGACTTTTTTCTTCTACAACATACCTGGTCTTTTGCAAGGACCATTTTTTTATATGGTTCCCCACTGCCTTCCTTATGATCCAGGGCCCCTAGTTTTTCCTCCAGCCAGGAAACTTGCTCAAGCAGTTTTGATTTTGTTCCTTCAGAGGCTGCAAGCTAAAGACATTTCTTGTAAGGACATGCAAGTACAGTGATTTTTTTAAAGCTCCTTTTAAAAGTCTAATTGATACATGAATTGCCTGCCACCAGTATCTATTAAACATGAAAATGGCTTCTGGAATATTCCTCATAGCTAACAAAGATTAGTAGAGAGATAAAAGGAAGTAATGTTGACTTTATATTTAGTAATAAGGATCTTTCTGAGCAAGAGATGAGACTACATAGTTACAACAGGCAGAGAGATTTCTAAGGCAACAACCTCAACGCTCACCTTTATTATGTTTCAAGATTGTACTTTATTTGTACAGCTGAAATCTGTATTGTTTTTTGTATAGTTCTTGGAACTTAACTCTGGGGGGACTACAGCTCTTTAGAAAAAATGGGAATTCTGACTCCCTCGAATGTTCACCCTATAAAGGAGCTGAAGGGAAATGCAGGAATTTCAAGTTAAAGTCTGATTGGAGGGAGATCTAGGCTAAACCATCACCAGAAAATGTCTACAGATGATGAACTTTGGCTTACTCTTTGTGGATTTCTCTTGAGGAAAGGGTAGTTTGATAGTGCCTCATTCCTGAATTCCCTTGGAGAGCCCCCTGGACTAGCGTTTCTTTTCATAGCTTACTGTGCATTTTTTCTATAGCTCAGCAACAATTCTGAGAGTCCCTGGAAAGGGACACACACCTTGTATTCATTCCAGTTCCCAATGTGTCCTTGGAGGCATGAATTACCTTTAAGTATCTCTTTAATATTATTCCAAATATTCTTGCAAAACTGTCTCATCTTGAAAAGTGCAGTGTTGTATGAAAGGAGAGAAGGTTAGCCCTCCCCTTGACAAGGATGGAAGAGGCCCTCGGGCCTGACAATACATGGCTAAAGTATTGCCACCTACTTCGTGGTATCTAACCAACGTTTTAGAAAATAACAATAGAACCCCCCTATGACCCAGCAATAGCACTGCTAGGAATTTACCCAAGGGATACAGAAATGCTGATGCACAGGAGCACATGTACCCCAATGTTCATAGCAGCACTCTCCACAATAGCTAAAACATGGAAAGAGCCTAAGTGTCCATCAACAGATGAATGGATCAAGAAGATGTGGTTTATCTATACCATGGAATACTACATGGCAATGAGAAACAATGAAATCTGGCCATGTGTAGCAACATGGATGGACCTTGAGGGTGTTATGCTGAGCGAAATAAGTCAGGCAGAGAAGGACAAATATCATATGTTTGCACGTATAGGAGGATTAGGAGGAACTTGACGGAGGAACAAGGGGGAGAAGAAGGGCGGAAATGGTGGGGGAAAGGGAGAGAGGCAAACCATGAGAGACTCTTGAATGCTGTCAAAAACTGAGGACTGATGGATGTGGGGGGGGAGGGGGGAGATGGGCATGGAGGGGGGCAGTTGTGTGGATGAGCACTGGGTGTTATGTGGAAACCAACTTGACAATAAACTATTTGTAAAAAAAATAATAAATAAAATAAAAAAGTTAAAAAAATTAAAAAATTAAAATTAAATTAAATTAAATTAAAAAAAGAAAGAAAGAAAAGTGCAGCAAGTTTTTAAAGACAATTTACCAAGCGGGAAAACCTGAAGTGGTTGCTCTGCCGTGGAAATGAGGTGGGAACTTCATATATATACCAGCATTGGTCCAAATCCACTCATCCACACAATCATTCACTTAACAATTATTTGCTTAGTTGGTGCTCTACAGCCATTCTGTTATGTTCTGGAGATTATAAAAGTGCAGTGTGAGAGCCAGAGGGAACACAGATGTGATGAATTGTTGGCTATGCCTTTCAGCTCGCAGCGACCTGGGAGACCTGTCAGGCTCCTCATGGACAGTGACACATTTCAACTGAGTACATGATAGTTTGGGGATGTAGGCTGGGTTTTCAAGGAACCCTTCTATTTTATTACACAGTATAGGGCATAATAGCTAACCACACAGACTCTTGAGTCAGACCCTTCGGGTAAACATCTCACTTTCCTACTTATTATCTGTGTGATTAAAGTAAGTTTCTCAGTTTCTAGGGGCTTGATTTTCCAATATGTAAATGGGAATGGAGATGAAAGAAATAGTACTTAGCTCACAGGTTTGTTGTGAGGATTATATAAGTTTATGTAAAATAATGCTTGAAACATTTCCTGTACTTATTAAATATTATTATTATATTATTATTATTATTATTATTATTATTTCTTCTACCTCCTCTAGATTACAGTAAGTATTGATAAGGGTTTTATTCAAATATTTCATATTTATCAAGTTATAAAACACAGTATCTGAAGACATCACAGCACTTTTGAGCTGGTTTCCCTAAACTCAAATTGTATTCAGTTCACTTACTTCCTGCAACCACTCTAGTGTTTAGGGAAAAGGCCTCTCTAGATCTGGCATTTTTTTCTCTCAGATACAGTCTTTCTCAGATTGGCCAATTTTGTTTCCATATTCTACCTGACTTATAATTCATCCAGTTCCCATTTGGTTGTCTTTCTTTTATATCTGCCTTCTATTATTTTCAAGCTTTTATTCATTCATTCATTCAATAGATACTCATTTATTATAGAAATATGTTGGACATTTATTAAAAGTAAGCCTTCAGAGGTAAAAAAATGAGAGTGACTTTGCTTATATGCTCAAAAAACTTATGCTTTAGCCAGAAAGGTAGAGAATTTTAAAACTATTATGTAATATGAAAGTATATAGTTGAATAATAATAATGACAGTAACAATTTACTGGATATTTACTACATACCAAGCCCTCTATAAAATCTTTTGTTTTCTTTTTTCTTTGTGTATCTCAATTCATCTTGATTCCCCTTTTGCGGATAAAGTAATTCACTAAGTTTAGTAAAGTTGTATAACTTGCCCAAGCACATAGCGAGTTAAGTGTTAGAACCCGAGGTTTCACTAGTGGACACTGGATCTGACTCCCTAAAGCCCAAATTTGACCCCAGGTCCTGAAGCGGGACTTGAGAATCATGAAAATGCCATCATCTTTGCTGCTAATTGGTTCAGGAATCAGTCTTCAACAATCAGAATCTAGGTTTTCTTTGGCCACAGTTATTAAATGAGGAGATGTGATCCAATTTGGACCACTCGTACTGCTCAGAAGGAATTTTGATGATTTGGAGAAGCATTCTTCTCTCTCACCTACCCAATATGAATGTTGCTGTAGCCATCCTACAAACATCCAGGAAACCAGTATATAATGAAGCTACACTCTGAATGGAAGAGTGGCCAACATTATTGAAATGCTTTATCAACTAATCCTGAAGTACATCCTACTTTGGACTCATATATAGTGAGCTAATAAGTTTCCTTATTGTTTAGAAATGGAATTTTCTGTTACTTACTACCATAAGCATTCTACTGATACACTGTCAGATTCCAAAGTCCCATGCTCTTGACCACAAATAAGTAAATTCTATGGAAAAACAGCAGTAATTAATGTTTATTTGGTAGTTATACCATACTACTCAATCTGCTGGGTGCTGTATGTACACAAGCTACCTTAGTCGAATGCTCAAAACTCTATAAGCGGTGTGGCTTATTTTTTGTTAATTATAACCATTTTAAAGAATGAGAAACTAGATGCTTCTAGGAGTGAATTAACTTCTACATAGCTAATAAGAAGAGGCTGGTTTTTCATCTACATTGGCCTGCCTCCAACTCTGGGTTTTACATTATATACAACCCTAATTCTAAGTCTACTTATAAAGATGAGGCCTGTGGTTTTTCCCGCAGTAACTATATGGCCTTTAGCTTTGTTTCTCAGCATGTATACCTATTTACCTGAAAGAACAAATTTGTCTTTTTTTCTAAGACCCAAGAATTTTTTTCTTAACTACTTGCTTTCTATTTCTATAGACATTAACCACATCTCTTTGTTCTCCTCTCATAAAGGGTCTCTGTCTGAATATCCCTTTGATTCAGATATATTTACTTCAAGCTTAGCTGTCCTCTAAGAAACCTTGAGTTGGAGTCAGAGATCTATGTGTTAGTCTCAGTCCCACAGCTCATGAACCTTGGCACCCATAATAGGATTTTACATGCTACCTTGCTATGTTTTTACAGGATATTTCTCCAGTCATTTGTGTTCAAACTGGATTGGAAATTCCCCAGAAGGAGGAATGGAGAATTCTGTCAAAACTTACAAGACACACTCAAATTGGTCAGAAGCAATCTTTGCTAAGATTATTCTATTTATTAATTTTTTAAACTTAATTCTTATATGTATGTATCATCACCTCACAGCAGCCAGATACAAGATTTTATTCTTTCTCCCATATACGGATACATTAGGGAAAGATCTAGTAATTTCCTGTTGAATTTTATTTTACATTGATGTAACTATTTATCTGCATAAGGTGATACTCTCTGAGCCCTGTTTGAAAATAGCCCATCAAATAGAACTGATAATACCAAAGGATAGAAGAGAAAAGAGATGAGAAGAAAATAAAATAAAATAAGAATTATGCATCAGAGTTTTGTTTTTTGTTTTTTGTTTTTAATGCTGTCTGAAAGATTGTGCTCTACTGCTGACTCACAAGATGTCAGTTGCCATTTTTTTCACTCCATTGTTTTGGTGGAGGTTTTGGGACTTTTTAATGTCTAATTTTCAATTCAGGAAGGCTTTAGGAATGCTGCCTAAATTCAAATTCAAATTATGAGATTAAAAAAGGCATCAAAGTGAGTAAGAGGAAATCCAAGTTAGCCCTGAAAGATATCATAATTGAATTTTAAAACTCTGGGGACCTTGGGTATTGCTTCTTTTTTGTTGCTTTCTTTCTTTTTTTTCGTAAGACCTCCTTGGTTTTACAGAGTAAAACCTTGTTTTGGGAAGGATAGAAAAAAGGTTTAGTCCAACTTAGTACCTCCTTACAAAAAGAAAGTAGAAATACTGGACATCTGTTCTTTAAATGACTGATTTTCATATATCTTAAGTAGCCACTTTTGCTGTAACATAGGTTCATAGGATGCTGGCAGGCTAATATTATACCTCTGACTCTTTTTGACAAGCAGATCCCCTTCTCCTCTGCCTATGCTGTTAACAGTTTGGAGGGAAGAAATGACTTAAAAAGTATGAACAATAACATCTGTCTTAAGAATTATGTAAAAACAAAGAGGCAACTTTCATGTCATATCTTTAAAGCTGTGTAAAGCCAATTAAAAAAATCAACTTTCGATATTCACCCCAATGTGAAATAAAAAATTGTTGTAAAAGTATTGTAATAATAACAATTACTGTATAAACTATATTACAGTAATAATTATAAAAGTATTATAATATAGTTAATAATATAGTTAATATTGCAATATAGTTAAAAGTAGAAGAAAGGTAAAATTTTACCCATTGTACAGTTTATTGATAGAGTCAAGAAGGGGTACTGATATATTTTAGAATTGTATTCAAGATAGTGCTTAAAGCAAAATGACTTGGACTTTACAGAAGATAGCAGAGTGGTCCTTCCACTTAAATAATACTGAGCTGGCAAAAACTGTCAGAACCAATCATTTCAGAACTCTGGATTTTAGTAGAACACATGCATCCAAGAAAGTACTAGAGTAAGAAAGAGACTGACGTTGAAGGAAATCTCTGTCAGGTCACCTGGCTAACTGCAGAGATAACAGAACAGGAGACTTCGGTGAGCACATGTGAAAAGGAATATAATCTTTGGAAAATTATTTTGGAAAACTAAGTAAACAAATATACAACTGCAGTCTTCAACAAGCAACAGTGGCAATTCTTAGAAGAGAGTGGGTAAAGAATCTGATTTCCAGAGTTACCACATTACAATATTTGTCTAGTCCTCAATGAAAAATTACAAACCTCATAGCTAGTTTGTAATAATAACATAGTTAGTTTGGTGTGTTTATTTTAAAATGATTAAAACTGTACTTGA